CTGCTAAAAGTCAGAGGACTGAGAAATTGGCTCTGAGACTATATCTCCTAGAAATGGCAGGGCAACATCTACCATGATTCCTCAACAATATGGCTTCGTAAACAAGACCTGAGCAAGGGATAACAACAATAGGCATGCCAGTGTGGAAGGGGAAATCTCACAAGGCCCCAACCCTAGACAAAACTACAGGCAACTAAGGAATGCTGAGAGGATGGCAATTATTACTTTGCAGCAACGAGCTAAAAATCCATCTTTATTCTATTAACACAAGGCCTCCTCCCTTTGTAGACCAGGCTGACTACAAACCCAAAATCTTCAACCTCTGAGTACTGGCATGATAGGCATTCACTGATGTGCTGACTCAAGGTGTCCCGCCTTCGAAAGATAAGTCAGAAATACAGATGTTTTGCATTGGATTTTGAAATCCCCCCCCCCAATGCTGATATCGCCAGTTTTTTTTTTTTTTTAATTAAAATCATGTGGTATTAGTAAGATGGGCTAGACTCAGCCCACAGGTTCCCTGTACACCCAACAGGGTTGGATCACCCAGAGTCCTCAAAGTTTCATAAGAGCAAAACAGCCTCATTCTTTTGTGGAAAAAAGACAATACATTACTGTATGCAAACCACAAAGGTGACAAGCCCATCACAGTTGGGCACATGGCTGTCTCAGGCTACCACAGGGATGGCAGGCAGGTCTCAGGAAGTAATATGACCTCCACGGGTTGAAGATAATGGTGTGGGGAAGGCAGAGAGAAGGAATGGGGAAGGAGGAAGGGAGAGGAAAAAGAGAAACAAAGACAAGGGAGGGAAGAAGCTGAGAGAGAGGGAAGGAAGAAACAGAAGTAAGGAGGGGTGAGAGGAAGAAAGAGGAAGAATGGGAGGAAGGTTTTTAGTCTACAGCATAATTATAAGCCAGTTCTTCATAATTCATTTTTCATGCGTATCTAATATTCCACCAATCCCGTACCAATTTGCTTTGAGAAGAGAGGCCAGAGAGGGAGAGAGAGGGAGGATAAGCATCAACACCCAAATCCTCCATATCTCTATCTCTCCCCTCCCCAGCCTGGCTCCCATGGGGTCAGGGACCTCCCTCAAGGAACACTCCTTTAGGCTCTGCTACTGGGACACCACTGAAGCCTTTTCTGCCATCTGCAGCTGGCCTTGGACACATGAAGCTCATTTCCATGAAGGAGGTTGCCTGCTGTCTTCACGGTCTGAGATACTGTTCCTCGTGTTTTTCATAGCTACCTCTTTCTAACCTGGGTCTCCTTCTGTTTCTCGTGGTGGTGGCCCATGACCATGTTCTGGTTACGGTCTTCTGTCTACCTCATCAGCTTGATCTTTGAAGGTGGTGGTGGGTGGGGGGGTGGGGGAGGTAGGGATTGGGAGTGGGGGGGTGTTCTCTTCTGTGTCTTGTGTCCTCTGTATCAAATTACACACCTCTGTGTGTGTGTGTGTGTGTGTGTGTGTGTGTGAAATTCAGGTTTTCACACTTGCAGCCTCCCACTTTAAATGTTAGTAATTACAAACATAACCATATAAGTAGAATGAATGATAGAGTATAAAAACAACTAGACAGGATATAATTAAACATAAACATAGAATGACCACAGACTATAATTATATGCATAAAATATATTTATAAATCTAGCATCCCTTAGAAAAACTCTACTTGCTATGTGTCCATGCTTTTGATATGAATTAAACGTTGTTTTTAAAAATTCCACTATAGGGGGCTGGAGAGCTGGCTCAGTGGCTAAAGCATTGCCTGCTCTTGCAAAAGGACCTGGCTTTGATTCTCAGCACACACAGGGCAGGCCACAACCATCTATACTCCCAGTCCCAGGGAATAGTGACACCCTCTCTGACTTCCACATGCATCAGGCACTCATACGGTGCACAGACACACATATAGGCAAAGGATGCATACACATAAAATTTTCTTTTAAAAACTCCATTGTGAATTGGGCATTAGTGGTACATGCCTTTAGTCCCAGCACTCGGGAGGCAGAGACAGGTGGATTTCTGTGAGTTTGAGGCCAGCCAGGTCTACAGAGCTAATTCCAGGGCAGGCTCCAAAGCAATAGAGAGAAAGCTTGTCTCAGTAAAAAATAAGTAAATAAATAAAAGCACTCCATTGTGAATATGTATTATTTTTTTGACTGGCCCAGCAGAGATGGAGAATGACATTCCTGCTGTGACCCAGTGGTTACAGAAGTCCTTTATAAGCCACTAAGTAAATAACGACTGTTGTTGCCTACTTTGCATGCCAAGTAGAGCTGTGAACCCTGGGGCTGGACTGGTGTTCATAGTCCCAGTGGCCTGGGAGGAAACTAGGTAAAGACACAGCTTGCTACTTTTCTCAAGTTTCCAGTCCCTCGTTACAAACATCATCTATAAAAGGGCATGTTTATAAACTTTTACAAAGTGGCCTACAATCTTGGCAAACGCCATTTATGGGTTTGGATCCACCAACCTCGGAGCTCCCTAGGTCGTCCTGAGGAGCAGAGGACTGTGAATCAGGACCTGGGGTGTGAGAGGGTCTCAGATGAGCCTGGGAAGGGCAGTCCTCTCTCTGGAGTTCCCCTTCCACTCCCGGCTTCCCTATCAAGTGGGAACCTGGGCTACATGGGCTCTAACTACGGCTGTTATAATTCTACTGCAATGGCTGTCCACAGTCACAGTCACAGGGAGACTCAGAAGGTGTCAGCACTCCAAAGGACCTCACACCGTTTCTTGAGATTTCTAAAACTAAGCCTGCACTCACATGATGGGTACAAGAATCCAGAAACTGTCTGGTGACCTGGGTCGGCGTTGACGGCTATACACAGGGAGTCGAAAATGCAGGTGGCCTCAACTGGGATCCTGTTTACAGGATGACAGTGCTGTCTTTACACAGGCAAGGCATGGAAGACGGTTGGTGACTGTTTTCTGAGTCCTGCCTTGCGCAGATAGCACAGGGTTGGAGCCAGAATGAGGCAATAGAATAAATATCTTAACATGGGTTTCCTGTGTCACTTCTAGATGACCCTAGGTGTCAGTTCCCCTAACTCCCTCCAGATGGCGTCGTCTCATTCCTGTGAGCTTGAGTTAATCCCTCCAGCTACAGGCTGGCCATTGACTGGCAGCCATGCAGGTGAGTGTGGTGGACAGGTGGGCACAAGCTCCGTGTCCTTCTTAAGCTACTTTAGGCAATCCCAAGGCCACTCGCTTTCTTGGCAAGTGACATCCAGCCTTGACTCCTACTCTCTGTGTCTGGACTCGTGTGTCAACACTGCCCATCGGGGGCTCTCATGGGGGGGGGGGCTGTCAGTGATCAGGTTTTCCCAAAGTCTCCATCAGGGTTTCTTGGACTTTGGAAGTAGGAGGAGAAATCCAAGGAGGCCTTGCAGAGAGGGCTGCATATTATTAAAAATAAAATAAAATAAAAAGCACAGTCAAAGTCCAAAATGTAAGAAAAGACAAAAATGGGGGAGGGCGGTGAGGAAGTAGAATGGGAGGGTGAAAGAAACAAAGGACAGAAATAGAAGGGAGGAAGTAGGGAAGATGGAAAAAACTAAAAGGTGGGGGGGGGGACAGAAAGGAAGGTGGGGAGGGGGTAGCCTTTTGTGTCCTGAAGCCAATGGAAGCAGGAGGGGGAGGACAAAGGAACTACTAGGGGTGGGAGCAGGGACCAGAAGGAAGCTCTTTGGGGCTAGACGGGGAACTTTGAGAGGCACCTGGGGTCCCTGGCCTCGACTCTGGGCACCCTTGGGCTCAGCCTACTTTTTCTGCGGTGCGTGTGGGCTGACCTGACTGAATGAATGGCTGTCGGTTCTCTATAGAGGCGACTCCACCCGGAGAGACTTTGCTCTACCTGACACCAGGTGAGGGGCGAGGCATCTACACAGAACAAAGCCGAACGGGCTCCACTGAACTTGAGGGTCCAGGATGCTAGCTCATGTGTGGAGTGGACATGTGGACATGTGTAAATATGTGCAGACATGTATGGGTGTGTACCGACATGCCTGGATGCGTGCAGAATCTCAGTCAAAGGTCAAAGTCTGGAAAAGACCCTTGAAACTTTCTGTCCTCAGACCAGCAGTACGCACAGTTCTAGGTCTGACTGACAGATTATGTCTGTTAATATGGGCAACCCCCAGTCTCAGCAGGGAGGGAGAGCTTTCCCTGACACCGGTGTGTCCTCCAGATCCGCATCCTCTCTGCTGCCCCTCACCATGGCTGTCATGTTGGCTTGTGAGCACTGGTGGGGCCGGGTCCCTGTTTAGAGGGTGGGGGCTGGTCCAGTTTATCCGTTGTGCTGGGAACCCCAGTCTCTCTGAGCTCTGAGTCACTGGCTTCTTCTCCCTGACCCACCAGGCTTTCCCAGAAATGGGTCAGACGTTCTTGCCCTTTCGCTCTTACCTTCAACAAGAACCCCAGCCCCAGAGGACCTCCCGCAAACAGGCTGCAAGGCCCTTCCTTTTGATCTCCACTGCAGACGCAGCAACCCTCCTCTCTGTAACTGTGGGCTGTGATCCGGGCTTCCAAACAAGTGTCACCCTTGTGCATCTAAAGGGAGAGTCACAACAGCCAAAGACAAGTATCCTGATGTCTCCCCTCCTCACCCCCACTGTGCACGTCCAGCACAAGCGGAGGGCGCTACACGGGGGTGAGCGGGACCCTTGGGAGGACAGCCTGAGGCACCACAAGGCTGGAGGCACTAGGGAGGGCCCCCATGGTAGTGACCCTAAGTAGGCACAAGGGTGTAGTCGAAAGAGCGAAAGACATTCTACTCTGAAGGACATGTCTCCTTAATTAGAAGACAACACCTGATCTGGAGCAAGAGGCAGCTGGGACAGGGACCAGCTTCCTCGTCGCCAGCCTGAAGATACTGGTCCCACCAGAGTTGTCTCAAAGGTCAGAATGTATATTCTGGGAATGAGAAACACACGGTTTCTGGCGTCGCCCAAAGGCAAGGAGAAAAGCATACAGCCATCAGAGTAGGGAAGGACTTACCTGGATGTTCCTGGGCTCTGGGCTGGGTGCCACACACCTGCAAGGAAATATCACAGGGTAAGTGCGGGGATATCCCCCACAGACATATCCCAGCTGCCTTGGTGGCCTGGGGCATCCATTACCTGAAAGCTGCAGAAGGACCAGAGCAGCCAGACCCAGTGGCAAGGCAGTATGGGCAGACCCCTCATGGTGGGGACCAGGCAGTGGTATCCCCCAGAGCCTGTGGGGAACCAATCTACCTCCAGCTTCCTGAGGACAGGGACATCTTCATCCCAGGTTTCTGGCCACGAAGTCTGTCCCCTAAAGTTTGTGACGTTCTAGTGCCTGCGAGCCGTTGGGGCGATTCTCCTCTACAAACTGGAGTCTTCAGAGACCCGAAGGCTGGATGCAGCTCTGGGTTGGGTGAGCACTCCTCCTTGGCTCTACTGCTGCTGCTGCTGCTACTGTTGCTGGGCAGGTCAGGGCCTCCAGGAACCTATAGGCTCAGTAGTCTGTGTCCCAGGCCCTGGGGCTGGTGGGCACTTGCCTCCGGTCTCAAGTCAGAGCTCAGAGCTCCTCCTCACAGCCTGGAGCTCAGGATGTCTGTGCTGCCTCCTTCTGCAGCTGAGCTCCATCCGCCACACCTCATTGGCCCAGAGTCCAGCCCCGTGGCTTTGGGTGGAGAGCCGGAGTGATGTCAGCGGGCCTCAAACTTTGTTCTCCTCTATTTATATCCATCCCACTCTGGCCTTTCCTGGGTCCTAACACTAGTCTGTTAGGAACTGCTGAGCCCTACGCAAGACTTTGCCATCAAAAGGTGGCCAGGCAAGCCTGGGCTGTATGTGTGTGAGGAGTGACAGTGTGTAGGGGGGGGGGGGTTGGACAGTGTGTGTGTGAGTGTGGGGGGGATTGTAAGGGTGAGAATGTGTGTGAGTGTAGTGGTGAGAATGTAAGTACTTGGGGTAAGTGTACGTGTGAGAGAATGGGGGGGTGCAAGCGTGTGGGTATTAGGGACAGTGTACGTGGGTAGGGAAAGTAAGAATGGATACTAAGTGAAGGGTGAAGAATGGGGTGCACGTGGGGGGAAGTGAAATTGTGTAGGGATGTGTGAGCAAGTGTGTGAGGGTTTGAATACAGGGAGATGAGGGTGTCAGGAGAATGTATGTGGGACGGGAGAGTGTGGGTGTGTGTATGTTAAGGTATCTTCTGCCCGCTGTTTTCATAATTACCGTGCGTTTGCAAGTGTGTATGAGTGTGAACCTGTAGATGTGGAGGGGGTGAGAATGTGTGCATGTGATGTGTGTATATCCTGTGAACATGTGTGAGTGTGGTCACGTGAGCATGCAAGGTATGTGTGGGTGTGGATGGATGTGAGTGTGGGTGTGTGCAGGTGTGAGCGTAGATGAGTATGGGTGTGTTGATGTGAGGGTATACATCATATACATACACCATATTTCCAGGGGCACCCTCAAAGTCTCATTAGCATTAATAAGTACATGGGGGCAGAGAGTTGTCTCGGTAATTAAAAAGCACTTACTGCTATCACAGAGGACCTGGGTTCAGTTCCCAGCACTCACATCAGACAGCTCACAACCATGTGCAACTCCAGTTCCAGGAGATCCAACATCCTCTTCGGGTCTACTCGGACAACTGTACACATCTGATGCACATAATCTCACGTAGCCTCACACACATGCACGTAAATAAAAATAATAAGGCTTTAAGAAGCAATGTTAATAAGCACAAGCATATTGGTGGACGTGTGTGTCTGTGTGTGTGTGTGAGACTGGGTGTGACTTGGCGCCACTGTGAATATGCATATATTACAGGTTCATGCCCCTTGGAACCCTCCAAATCACTATCAATATTAGCATAGTAAGCACAGGAGTGGGTCAAACCAGAAACTCTGCTAAGATCTGGGTCCGGTTCAACTGTGGGAAAACAGTGATTGTGTGCATACAAGAAAGGAAACATCTAGCCATGCCCCATCCAGAGCTGGCCATGCTTTCCCTTCAGTCCACCCTTGCAGAATTCAAGGACACCTCCTGATGTGTGACACCTTCCTTTATCATGGAACCCCAACTTAGCACCCAACTAAGTCATACTTCTGTTATCTGTGTCTCAGTTTAACTGAGGCCAAGACTTGATCCACCTTGCTCCAAATGTGCAAACACACACACACACACACACACACACACACACAAGCCATCCCTGCAGAGTATGTCCAGTAGCACAGCCCCAAGGCACACTCCCTCACTGCAGCCCTCCCCACTTGTGTGCTCTTGGACAGAGCTTTCTCCCCGCTGAATTCCTCCTTTGCAGGCTGAAGGAAGCACTGACTGTCCAGGAGACAGAGACTAACATATAAGGCCCTTAACATGGGGTTTGGAAGAACGGTAACACACTCAATAAATGTTCTGATTCCTACGATAAAGTGGAACATAACACCCAATAAACTCGAGCTATCATTATCATCTAAATTGCCCTGACTTTAAATGGGAATTAAGAGTCCTGAGTCCAGCAAGCTTCCTAAAGAGGACAGAAAAAGGGCTTCCAGCCCCTAGCGGGCAGGGAGAAGGGATGTCAAAAGGCAAGGTGATTGCAGTAACTCCTGCCTGCTCTGACAACCTCCCTTATTATCTGCTCACCTCACTATGGAAGGTTCCAGATAGCTCTGTGGATAGTCCTCCTCCCAGAGCCAGAGAAACTGGACCCTGTCCTCCAGGCTGTTTGTAATAATGACCTTTAGCATGGTACCTAAATGCCTGCTGTTCAGGGAAAGGGAGAATTTATAACTTTATTCTCATTTCAATCTTCTAGCCCCTCCCTCAAAGGGAGAGTGGAGGGAGGGGCCTCAGCCCCATCTGAACCTAAGAATTAAACAGATTGCTGGGTATAGCAGACCTTTGTTTCCAAAGATGAGAATAAAACCAGGGATATCTTTTAGTATAAATTTGTCCTTGATAAAGGGAGACACCTGATCCAATGACAAACAAAAAATGGATGGAAAACACGTTTCACAGGACCATCTGCCAGGGGCCAGAGCCTAGCTACCAGGTCCCAGCCCACAGGGTGCTCACCTGTCACTGTCCTTCCGCATCCTCGCAGGCTGGAGTAGAGACTCCCCTACACCTCCCTTTCATGCCATGCATTCTCAAAGCTGGGTTTGAAAGCTCAACCAGGGAGAAATTCTCAAAGCTAATCTGGCAAATAAAAGGTGCAGTGTTGCTGATGCAGAGATCAGAGGACAACTTTTAAGAGTCGATTCTCTCCTTCCACCATGTGGATCCCAGAGTTGGAAGCTGCAGGGGCCATGCTTGGTGACAAGCACCGTTACCCACTAAGCCATCTCAGTGCCCCAGCATGTTATTTACTATGGTCAGAGTGCAGTGCATAGCTGACTAAAACATTCTCCTCCAGCCTCCCAAGACTTTGTACCCAGGACCAGCGTGTCCCTTTCCTGACTTGCTACTTCTGGCCTCCACTCACAATATTGTTCTATGAAACTGATTTCCTGGGCCTCCACATACAAATAGTCATACCATGTTTGCCTGTGATTTGCTTTATTCACTTAGCACCATTTTCGATATGGATCTGGGGTGATGTGTCCTTTTGTGAGCTTCATTTCATCCCTATGGTGGCACCCAAGCGTCACCCCGACAGGTGGCTTTCAGCCCTTCCCCATTGTTTTTCTTTCATAGACATTAGTCACCACCTGACATACATTGTATCTGCAGCATTCATTAAAGTTGTTACCATGCAGGGGAGCCACGTGGTCCCTCTAACACAGGGCCGAATGAATATCTGATATCCAATATTCCAACAGTACCTTTTGAATGAATGCATGACCACTTAATTTAAAGGATATATGGGTAAATGTGTGGTTCAGTAAAAATCCATGAGATTTTATTGAGTGGGTGCTAATTAAATATTTAAAAATGGGCCTTAAGCTTTGATGAAGCTCTACCCAATAAATGTCTATGGGGTTGCTGCAAAGTGGGGGGCTTGCTAGTGACAGGGTATGAGTGAATTATACAGGATCCAGCCTGGGTAGGATAGAGGTCCTGCAGGGGTCAGTCTAGAATGGCCAAGGAATTCAGTAGAGGAGTTTCTTTGCTGGATTCCATGTCCTCAAGTCCACTGCCCATACCCTGTCACACGCCTTCCACCAGCCGTCTTAGCTGTGTGGTGCAGATAGCTTGTGTGCTTCATCACATGCACTCCCTGCAGATGGACAGACAGAACAATGGCTTCTGCCATACCATGCTTACATGCCACACACAGGCAGGAACAGAACAGACTGACCTAGACGGACTGAGGGGTGGAGTTATAAGGGAAGTGATGTGGTAGAGTTAGGGGAATCTTTCTCCAGGTGGCTAAAGGAGGGAAGAATAGTTTATAGAAAACACAAACAAACGAACGATCAAACAAAACAACCTATGGAATACACTAAACTCGGGACAAACATACATCCCTGAGGAACAGTACCTGAAGCATGCTGGAGTGTGTGTGTAGGACATCTGTAAGGTGATTCTCTTATAGGCACAAGGCCCTTGGTTTCATCCCCCAACAACTTCCCTGGAGAGAATAAAGGTCACTCACTACCTGTAACAATTAGCCTTCATTGGCAACATGATTGGATTTGGGATCACCTAGGAGACACAGTTTGGGGTGTGACTATGGGGCCATTGAGAAAGGTGTCACTGTGAAGATGCACACTGCATATGGGCAGCCCTATGGCACAGGCTGGGGTTCTGGACTAAAGAAGTCAGCTGGGTACCAGCTCTCTCTCTCTCTCTCCCTCCCTCTCTCTCTCTCTCTCTCTCTCTCTCGACTGCAGCTACAGTGTGGCCAGCTGTTTCATGTCCCTGATGTCATAGCCTGACCCCATGCCTTCAGTGTTGTGACAGACTTTTCCCTCAAGCTGTGAACCCCAAACAGGCCCTTCTTTCCTTAATTTGCTGTGTCTGGTATTTTGTCAAGGCAGCGAGAAAGGTGATTAATGCACTCACCTTTCAACAAGTAGTGGCCACTGGCCTGTGGACAAGAAGACAAGGACAGACACACATGTGCACACTGTAATGGTTCAACAGGGACCTCGCTTACATCTCGGCATAAATACAGGTTATCAGTCTCCGAAGTCTTCAGACGCTGCCCATTCTAATATTATGGCACACACAAAGGCAAGAAGAAGGAGGAAAAGGAGGAGGGGGGAGGGAAGGAAGGAAAGCCTTCTGTTAAGAAATAAGACAATCAAAACCAAGAGACGGAAAACGTTGAGCGATGGGAATGGATTCGCTAAACACTGGCAATATTCACCACCTAGCAGGACTTCTGCAGACACAGAGGTGATGCCAGCAACCACGTGGATCGCTGGCCCCCAAATTGGATGACACACAGAGTTCATGGCAGACTTAGCTCAGGCAAAGGAAGGGCCACGAACTTGACAGAGGTCTGTTAAAAATCA